CTTTATTCTTCTGCAGTGACTAGACTGTTTTACAGTCCAGTGAGAGAGGTGTTCAGTGGCAATAAGGATCTTTCATGCAGTAAATAATTACTGAGCATCTACTGTGTGCCCAGCACTGTTCTAGGCTTTGAGTCTACAGCAACGAACAAACCACAAAAATCCCTCTCCTCGTGGAGTTTAGATCCTGACAAAACATATGTCAGATGATGGTAAGTCTACGGAGAAAAACAAGGGAGAAGGGTGCTTACTTTTAAATAGGGTGGTCAGAGACAGCCTCACTAAGCTGATAATTGAGTGTAGGTCTGAACAATGTGATAAACAGGCCAAGGCCCAGCATCCAGCAGGAGGTACACTGAGTGCAGAGGCCCCATAACAGGTTTTTCTGGCATATTCTAGCAAGGTCAGTATAGCTGGAGTGAGGGGTGGAGGCACTAGTAGAAAAACGAAATGGACGTCACAGGCCACTTACTTAGGACTTTGTATGCCAAGGAAGGACTTTGATTTTTTATTATGAGAAAGGAAGCTATAAGACAATATTTGAGAGGAGTAACTTTTTAAATTTTGGTGTAATATTTTTTAAATTAAGGTATCATTGATACACACTCTTATGAAGGTTTTACATGAAAAACAATGTAGTTGCATTCACCCCGTCAAGGTCCCCCATACCCCATTGAAGTCACTGTCCATCAGTGTAGTAAGATGCCACAGAGTCACTACTTGTCTTCTCTGTGCTACACTCTTCCCCATGACCCCCCCCACACCCATGTGTACTAACCATAATACCCTTCAATCCCCTTCTCCCTCCCCCACCCCTCCCCTTTGGGAACCGCTAGTCCCTTCTTGGAGTCTGTGAGTCTGCTGCTCTTTTGTTCCTTCAGTTTTGCTTTGTCGTTATGAGGAATAACATTAAAAAAAGAAAATCCCTCACCACTTGTTAGATTTGTAGAGGGACTCGAGTTGATTTGATGGGGGGAGACCAGCTTGGTTTTGGACAGGATCAATTTCAGATGCCTTGTGAAATACTAGTAAATACCAAATAGGTAGTTGGATATTCAAGTCTGGAGCTCTAGAGAGATATGCAAGGTAGTGACGCAAATTTGGGCATTTAAAGCTGCGAGCCTGGGTGAGATGACCAAAGTGCTAAGAACTGTATAGGGAAGAGAAAAAGGATATGCCAACATTTAGAAAGTGGGCAGATCCCCAAGAAGAAACCAGCAAAGGAGACAAGAGAAGCTGGTGAGGAAGGCAAAGCATCTAAGTAGAACTAAGCTACAGATAGATGGTAGCTACTAGCCACATGTGGCTATTTAAAATTCAGTGCCTTGGTCACACTAGCCACATCCCAAGGGCTCATTTCATGTGGCTAGTGGCTACTGATTTGGACAGCCCAGACAGAGAACATTTCCACCATCACTAAAATTCTCTTGGGCAGTACTGATCCAGAAGTCAGTTGACGAAAGTATCTCAAGGACAGGGAGTGTGTCAAAAACTAGTAAGTAATTGGAGGATTGACATTTGCCCACTGGGTTTAGTTATGTGTACTTACCAGCAACCTCTTGACAAGGGTTTGGCACAGTAAAAGGCAAAAGGCCTGACAGGATAAACTGGAGGAGATGAATTAGAATCAGAAAATGCAGACACCTCATTCCTGACCCTTGGCTCTGGCTGGCAGCTCTGCAGTCTGCTCAGTGTGGTTGTGCCCACAGATGTCACCCTGTTGACAGGCCTGGCCTGGGGCTCCTGGGGCTGCATGCCAGATCTGTCCCAACCTGACACATGAGCAGCTCGGGACCATGGATGTCGCCATGGCTCATCCTGCTTCCTGTTTCTTCCTGCTGTGGGCTGAGTCTGGTCATACCTGGAGTGAGGGGGACTGTCCTCTGCCTCACCTTATGACCTGACCACCCCCAGCCTGCCCTGTTCATGTGTGCTCATTCCTGGCAGGCCTCCCCTGGATCCTGGCCTCAGTTACAGTGACCTCTTCTGCAATCATGAACTCTTGATTTCTCCATGGTGACATCCTGGAACCACACAGACCCGTTTATAAGGCCCTGCTCAGTAGCTGCCTCCCCTCCCCATGCTGTACTTAAGCCTTGAGAAAAAAAATACAAGAAAGAAAGATTTAAAAGATATACAATTCAAACAGCTGGAGTAAACGTACCACAAAACATTTGTTGAAGCTATTCCAAAGACAAAGTTCTCATGACTAACGGTTGAGTGTTTACAGTGCCTAAAAAACCCATGGCCCAGGATGCTCACTCCAAATCATTTAAAGAACTCAAAATACATGAATACCTGGGCCTCCACGCGAAACTGATAAAATTGACTGTGAAAACAGGTTATGAAACAACCCTGGCATTTATGTGAGTTTTGTTTTGTTTTTTATTTCCCTGGGTGATTGTAATACACAGTTGCAGTTCAAGACCCACTCATTGCTTTAGACCAAAACAAAAATACTAATGTGAGATGATTCTCAGTCATGGTCCAGAATTATCTGGAACTTTTATAAATATGTTGGACAATTCATAAAGTGATGACACATCTGATGCAAAAATGAGTCATGTGGTATTGTGGTAAGCTTTTCTGCCAGTGTTTTGGAAATTGAGAATGTTAAGTCCACCAAGAAGGAAGTCAACATTAGATAATCTTAGTAAAGACTTTAACACTACCCATGGTGAACAAACATACTGGTTTATTTTATGGGTGCAGTTACTCTTCTAGGAGCACTTTATCTGATGATTTTACTTCCCCAAAGAAAAGGTTTTTGTTAACTATAAAAGCTTTGAAGTAGAAGCAAATTATAAACTTAAGGAATCATGTTTTTTTTAAAACTAGTAGCATCTTTAGAACTAGAAAATTTATGTGGTGACTAAAGCCTCATGAATTAGATGTCTGTTTCTGCAATTCAGTTATTTATTCCTTATCTTGGCACTTTTTAAAAAATAAAACATTGGTGCATTTCTATGAAAAACATTCAACAGATACTCATTTCAGATGTAGTGAGGCAGGGCAGGGACATGGGACGAGCATCATGATTAATTTTTCCTGCCTATGATGAAAATGCCAAGATATAAATAGTAGAGTAAGAACAGGAGGGCCTCCATTTTAAAGCTAAGATTCTATTTTAAAAACCAGGAGTTTGGAGGTAAGATTCCTAACATACCTTATGGTAATCAGTCAATAACTGACAATGCCTTAAGGCAGGGCAAGCAGTCCTAAATGGTATGTCCCCACTTCTTGAGGGTAACCACTATCTTACAGAAGTATAGGATTAAGAAATTCCTTGGGTTAAAGTTAATTTACAGAATATCTATAGGACAGACTATGGTTGACATGACAATGTCTCACAGGAGACAGACATCGTGAGACCACATGTCAAGCCTGTGCCCCCTCCCCTGCCCCATTCTTGAAAGCCTACATGACAGAATCCTAAGCCCTTAAGTGCACCTCCTCACTGAGGTTGCCCTCACTCCCCTTTCTTCATTTGTGTACTTTTTCCCTTAAATAAAGCCTTCTCACTGCTCGACTTTTTGTGTTTTGTCTGTGCTCTTCCAGTGGTAAGCATCTTTGTTTCATTCTGTTTTCTAGACTGAAGCACAAGTCTTCACTCTCTCTGTCCTACTTCAGACAAGTAGGGAAGGGCTACTGAGATCTCTGATGTGGGCTTGCAAGTTCCCATTGCCTGGGTGACCCAGACAGGACTGCAGCTGTACAATCATGCTCTTTAGTAGCCTGCCTGAAAATCCCTACACCTTTGGGAAGTTCTCAGAACATAATCTCGCTCCATCCAGTGCTCTGCAGCTCCCCCAAATCCTGAGGTGGGAGGGGCTTAGTTCCCACACCATGCATATCAAGCAGACAATGGATGCCAGGTGACCCTGGCTTTAGGAGTTGGCAAGGGTTTTGCCCTATGCCTAGCAGTTCAATGAGCTTTGCTTTCCTCCCTGTTTTTCCTTGCTCTCTGCTGTCAGCATGGCTACTGCCATTCTGTTACTCTCACTTTAATAAATTCCTTCCTTACCTAAACTCTTCCAACCTGTTTGTGAATTCTTGCTGATCAGAGTCAAAAACTCTCTCCCATCCAGGTTGAGATTTCACTTAGTAGGCAGGGAGAGACCTCCCCAGAGGCAGTTGCCTGACAACAGTTGAATATAAAATGATCCATTAAACTAATGTGGGATTGTGGGTAAAATTGCAGTATTTCCAGAATCTCTCACCTGGCCTTAGTGCATCTCTGTATCAGTAGGTAGGGGGCAAGCAATGGCTTATCTGGACCAGAGAGGTTGGGTGGAGGGCTTTCTTCTACAGCAGGGTTGAGAGAGAGATGCTGGATGACTGCATGTAAGAAATAAACGGGTTTCTCCTACTTTATTTCTCCCTTTGACTGACTTCAGTTTCTAAGGTATATTGCCCTGGGATTCCCCCCCACCCCAGAGTTACAGGGATACAACTATTTTTCCTCATATCTAGAAGCAAATATCATTGACTAGTTATAGATCCTAGGATTCTTATCCCTTCCCTAAAATCCCTAAAGCTCACATATTTGCTTTCTGTATTTGCTGTTTATCTCAGTACTAATCTTGTATTCTGCTTTTTGTATTGTGACATAAACATGAAATTCTGATCTGCTGTAATACACAGGTCTATCCATCAGTTTCAACCTCCTCCTCCATCTAATAGAGCTAGATTAATCTTTCCCTCTTTACCAAAAGAGTGTTGTTGTTTTTCAAAAAGCCATAGACAAAAAATGAATGATACATAGCTTGGATAACTAATTCCTAAATAATCAAAAACCAGATTATCTCTGCAAACTGAAACTTAGATTTGGAAATACTGCACTACTCCTACTCTATTTTAACATTTATCCTATCAAGGTAATATGATCTTGAAAGACAGAGATGAATTGAGCATTTACTTACCGAACCCCAAAATACTAGAATTTAAGCTATAAGGAAGTCTACTTAAATATTACTACTTTACAAGTGACAAACTCATGAACCTTGCATTATATCATTTATGAAACAAAATAATTGAAATAATTTTCTTAAATCATTTCCAAACTGTCATTGCCTCAAGGTTAATCAATAAACTACTGAATGATTTACCTCAAATTATCCCTTTTCTTTGAGAAGCAGTATCGTGGAATGATAAAGCTGGAGATCTGAAATCAGACATTCTAGATTGAAATCTTGACTCTTCCACTTGTTGTGTGACCGTGGCATGGGCAGCTGACTAATTCCTATGTTCCTCAGGTTTCGTCATTTTCCTCTGCTTTAAAATGGCATTAGTACCGGTGCATATCTGCCTCGTGGGATTGTTGTAAAGAATGAATGCAAAGCACTCAAAACAGTGCCTGCTGCATGCGTACTATTAGTAAATCCTCAAAAGATTCAAATGATTTGGTTTCTTACCCTTGCAGAAATGGGTATTTCAAACTGCTGCTTACTTTGAAGACAGTGTATGGTGGCAAAAAATACATCATTTCAGTAACTAGACCTTCGGAGCCAGTAAAGGGAAGAAGAGACATTAATTGGAGGACATTAAGTGATCACGCTCTTTTGAGTTACAAAAGTACTTGCTTTCTTTCAAGTAAAAGCATGCTGTGGAATGTTCGATCTTCCTTCCATTCTGGTCAAATCAGACTTAAAGTAGAAGTTGAGGTTACTAGAAAACGTTTAAATTTTCAGGAGCTCTTACAAATTGAGGAAAACATTTCTCAATACAGGTTTCCCCGCTATCCAAAAGTTCACTTTTTACAAGAGACCTAATTAGCACCTGTTTCCACTAACATAAAAGAAAACTGAAGCAAGTTTTAGCTTTTACAAAATGGTTACTGCTTCTCTGTTTTAAACCATCCTGGCTTACAAAAGGTTTCATAGGAACTCTACTTGTGGTTGGTGGGGGGAAATCTGTAAACCCTTTCCGTTGTTTGGCTTGGCTTGGCAGACTGGACCCAGTACTGGAACATCAATCCTTTGTGGGAAACACTACTGTCCAGTTAGGAACAGAGGCATCAGCTACCAGGTTATAACTGGCTCTGCTACAGACTAGGTGTGTGACCTCTGACATTACTTCTCTACCTCAGTGTCCTTATCTGTAAAATCTGGATAACACTATTATCTCATAGGGTTGTTTGGGAGGATTAAGTTAGTTAAATTCATGTAAAGTTCTTAGAATAGGGCCCAACAAAGTAAACACCAAAAAATATTATTATTATATGAAAATCTATCGGTGTAAAACATTTCTCTGGTATTAAGGACATAACTATATAAAAATATATCTCCATCTCACCCAGAAAAAAAAAATCCTAAAACCTAGTATTTCCATTTTTTAGTTACTTGTATTGGTACCATACCAGACATGAGGTGGTAAGTACAAATGCGGCGAAGGAGGAAGTACAAGGATCATATATTTTCACGCAATTAACCTACCACCTGACGACTGGATCTTAGGCCAGAAAAGAAAATCAGAAGGATGATGACTCACTAGTATCTTTTAGAGTATCACACATCTGATAGGGACTGGACTAAATATTTTCACTGAACACCTTGTTTCTGTCTTTTGTGTAAGTTAGATTTTTTAACTTCCAAAGTCTCTTCCCAAATAGTTTTTTAAATAAACCGGTACCATTAATAATGCCAGTCAATTAATGTCAGTAGCATTACCACAAGGAAGAACAAACTTTGCTATCAAGACAGCCATCACCTAAATAATTTTATACCAATTTCTCACAAGCTGAAAGCAAGCAAGCATGGTTGGCTTAGCTATAACAGAACGAATTGGTGTTTAGTTTGAAGAATTTTAAAGCTAGCCAAGTAATTGTATAAAATATAAATTTTATGACCATGTTTGGACTTCTACATTAAACACAATGAAAATGTTCATCTTCATTTTTTCCCCGAAGGAAAAATTTCTGAATCATCACTAATGTTGCACAGTAGAATAAAAATATGAGTTCAGGTACTTATTCAAGTTTCTAAAGGATGCAAAGTAACAGACACGATTTTACTTCCAAAATCTGAAGTCATCAACATGATTTTGTAGTACTATATCTCAGGCTTTACCTAAAAATTCATTATTATTCAGATAAAGACAAGCCCCCTAGTCACACTTTTTAGAAAGCCTCTGCCCCACCACACTTTCCTGAGATCTGTGAAGAAACTGCAGTCTTGTGATCAGGCTCCATATAGTGCTGGCAGTTTTGGGTTTGTAAGGAAAAAACGGTGACTGATTTTATGTGTCAATCAGTTGTAGTCTGCTGATCTGATTAGAAGCCTTGACAAATGCCTGGTGGCGATTGCAAATAACTGCCAAGCATATGGGGATAATACAGTAGCCCACCGTTTTGGGGTCAGCTCTTGTACAAGAATAGAGGAACAAAAACATCTGTAAGTAAGGTATCAGAAAAATAACTGTCCAAAACCAAAAAGGCAGGGAGAGTAAACGAGTTTTCAAGGAGTGTGTCCATGTGGTTCCTTCAAAGGGCTCCTCTGGGTGCTGCTGAATATGTTCCAAGGCCAGCCTGTTGTAAGTCTCATTGATTTCAAAAACATAGTAAAATGCTGCTGCACTTGCTAATAGATACAAGCCCACTCCAATCCAGCCCATCCGTTGACGGAAGTTCATCATTCTCCATGCTCTGTGCCTTCAAATTAAAAAAATATATGCAGTTAAAGTCTAGTAATGCTGTCATGGCAACTATTCCAAAAGTACTTGTTTCTAATGAGTTATAAAATGCCCCATGAACACATGTAAGATTCACAATAACTAAATCTGCATTTAATAAGAAATGTAAACAACTTAAAGGTTACTTTATGTAGCAGTTATGAGGAAGTAAAGTTTCACTATATATTTTTCATTACAATTTTTTCATTATATATTTTTTCAGAATTCACTCACTATACCCACCTTAAATAGGTCCAGCACACCTTCCCGTAAGAAAATGGAATTAAACTAGTTTTCTACGGAACACTTCACTTCTACAGTTCATGTACTTTCTGACTTAACAGTATTGTTTCAGACGTGAACAACTGGCTCTACAAGTCAAACCAATGACGGAGCCCCCAAGTTAAGACAGTAACTCTTAAACACTTACAGTGGTCCCGAAACTCTTCCTGTTCCCACGGCAAGCGTTAAAGAGTCACTCAGTTCTGAATAATCGGGTGGCTTTGGCATTTCAGAGAAAGTCACCATGAAAGAAACCCCCACGGCCACCGGCTGGGAGAAATGTGAGCGCCGCCAGCCTGGAGCACAGGTTAACTGTGATTAAGCACAGCGTGACTTCGGCCGGTCACGCGGCAGCCCAGCCCCTGTCGCCACTGACGGAGCCCCAGCCGGTGTCACCCGGCCGGACCGGGAGGTTCCCCAGCCACCCGGGCCTCCCCGGCAGCCGGCCCCGCCCCCTGCCGCGCCGCAGCGTCCGCCAGCCGCGACCAGGGCTGCGCGGGCGGCGCCAGGACCGGGTCTTATCCGCCTTGCAGCGGCGGGAGCCCAGAGCCGGGCAACCGCCACCAGCAAAGCCTGCAGAGCTGGGCAGATCCCGGATCTCACCTTCCTATCCGGGTTGGCCCGCCCGCCTGCCTTCCCGGATGCTGCCACAGTCGGGGCTTCCGGCTCTAGCCGGAAGCAAGCGCGCCCCGCCCCGAAAGGCCCGCCCCTCGAGACGCTAGGTCGCTTCAGCCCGTGGCCCCGCCTCTGCGAGCGTCTGCGGCGGAGCGGTAGTGCGGGTCCTTCAGGTGGGAGGCGAGCTGGGCTTGGCTTCCTCAGCGCTCCCTGACCTCGCCTACGGTGTCTCGCTCTTGGCTCTGATCGAGCCATCGCTGCCGCGGCGAACACAGTCCCTGGAGCCCCTCACGTGAGTGGAGGGGGGGCCGCCCGGGAAGCGTCGGGAGCCGGCCCTGTTGCCTTGCCGCCGTTGGCCGACGCAGCCACGCACCGCGAGATAATGACGCGGGAAGCGGGCCCCGCCGGGCGCTGCAGGGAACCCGCCGCGAAGGACAGGGTGAGGCGGCTGCGTGTAGCAGTGGCGCCGGCTGGGAGGCCGCCCTGGCGACGCCCGCCGGTGCAGGTGCGCGGGGCTTCTAGGACCCGGGCCGGTGACACCAGCTAACACGACTGCTTTGCCCTCACAGGCTGCCGGAACTCGGGACGTTGAAGGAACTTACCTGGTGGACCTCGGAGAGATACTGTGGATTGAGGTGGCATCAGTGTCCCTGCCAAATTACAATTTAAATCTGTTTTGGACACCATGACGCTGAGGCTCCTAGAAGACTCGTGTAGCGGGTGGATGTGAACCTTCGGAAAGAGCTCTTGATTGCTGGCACCCCCAGACCTGTCATCTGGCAGAAACCGAGGAGGCTCTGCAGGCTGGTTGAGCTCCCTTGGGCGAGTACAGACTGCTCGGGAGGACATTCCGGAGGTCCGAGACCAGGAATGTAGCCCTAATAGGGCTGACTGAGGAGGCCAGTCATGCTCTGGTCCCCAAGGAGGTACTTGGAAAAGGGGTTGTCTGGAGAGTGATTTTTAAGCCCCCAGACCCGGATAGTGAGTTTTTAAGCAAATTAAATGAATTATTAGAGAGGGCATGACCCTGGGTGAGTTCACCAGAGCTCTTGGGTATGGAAATACCCTTTTGACCTAGACCAGGATATGATCCCAAAAATTCAGGCCCCTTATGTTGGCACAGGCATTAAATTAGGCTCTTCAGCCTGCCCTGCAATACCTGAAATAAAAAAGCTGAGAGTATTTTCGGGCAGAGATCCTCCAGAACCAGAAGAAGAATTTGAATCCTGGCTGTTTCGTACCACTCAAATGATGGAGACATGGAAGGTATCAGATGCAGAGAAAAGAAGGCGATTGCTAGAGAGCCTTAGAGGCCCAGCGTTATTCGTGTCCTCAAGATGAACAATCCTCTAATTAAAGAAGGATGAAGAAAAATTGTCTGCTTATGTACTGAGGTTGGAGCCTTTATTACAGGAACTGGTAGAGACAAGCAATGAGAAGTTGTGAATCGGGCCCATCTAGACTGCTGGAGCAGCCTGCAGAACACTTCGCAGGAAGCTTGCTCTGCCAGAGGATGGCCCAGCCCCTGGCTTGCGGAGTTACCGGCACTGATGAAGGATGAAGAGGCGGCTGAGAAGGAGGCCCTTCTCCAGGCAGGATTAGAGAGACATTTCAGCTGAATCTTAAGAAACCAGGAAAGGATATCTGGTGATGTGCAGAGCCTGAAAGTAGAAGAGTCCATATACTCCAGTTGACTGTGCTGCCAAGTAACCCCCACCTTGTGCTGCCAAGTAACTCATTTTGTACAGTTGTCAGCATAAATTCTTTGTCATTTCTGTGCCTACTTAATGTCTCAAATGTGTCGTTGACAAGGAAGGATGTAGTTCTGCACTGGCACTTACATACTTAAATTTGCCCCTTTGAATTCATCACACAATATTGTATAAAAAGCCCATCACTACCTACATACGGTCCTCTGCAGAGGACAGCCAAGGCTCAGGTACATAGGCTGACCAGATCACATCAAGATGCCAGCTTGTGTGGCAACAGGTATGTGATGTGATAATGTAACATAAATAAGTTTTTACCCTATGTTTATTATGAAGATCATGAGCTGTGGTTAAGATACTAAGTTATTTTCTGAGAGAATCAGAATTTTATTGATAATGTGCAGTCAAGAATAAGTGCTGAGGTTGATAGGTTTGCAGCCACCATCTCTAAAGTCAGGTTTCTGATGTGTGTCATCAAAACGTCAGTTCTAAGTATCATTTCAATAGGTGTTATAAAAATATAGACATGAAATTCTAAAATAAAGGAATGCTAATAAAATTACCTCCTTTATCTGTTTTGTTATATCAAAGTTCCAAGAGAGATTTTATTTGAACAAAGGGTTTCAAAAGCATGAATCTGAAGTCCCCTGAGTTGACACAATCACTCAGATATTTTTCCTCTTGGTGCCCAAGGGGTGGGGTAGGAAGTAGTTTTCTAAGATAGTTGGAGGGACTTTCTACTGAAGTACAATGGGATGAGAAAACAGTACACAAATGAATGCACATAGTAGTTCTAAGTGCATCAGTGCATTGAATTTGGAGGGTGAAAGGAAAGGAACGTTGCGTGCCTCTGCATGGCAGACTGTACTAGAAAGTTTTCCATGTACTTTCTCATATAATCCTCATTACAGTCCTGCAGTATAGGAAACCCCAGTTTCACATTTGTGGAAATGGGCCCAGAAAAGGTAAGAAAAACTTGGTCAAAGGTAAACAGCTAGTAAGTGGCAGGGTCACATCCATCTGCCTTTGCAAGGGCCATATTCTTTCCACTGTCAGAAAAGAAGCATCATAGGGTATCTGTATCCAACAACCTCAAGAAAAGCAGGGCAGATGTTAACTATTTCATAAGTGTAATAAGGTACACATTAGTCTGGTATGCATTATTCTGAATCATTGCAAACTAGACACTACTAGAAATGGGGACTATGAGAACTTTTAAGACCTAGAGACAGCCAGGACGGTGAGCCTGGGTTGGTGATTTGGTCCCTAAAAAAAGGTGAAAGTCATAGCATAAAGAAAGTTTGAAAATTGCTGAAAAATAGGATTAAATATTTAATAAAAATAGCTTTTGGGGGTGTACACCACTGGTTTAGATTCAGAGCCATAGTGAAATGTTTCTTTTAAGACTAAATGCCACAGTTTGATTTTTCAGAAGTTCTCCCCTTATGGAAAGCAAAATACCAAACTGATGTCATACACCATAAATACAATTTTCACTTGTCAATTATATGTCAACAGAGTGATTAAAAGAGCTAAATCATAAATGACAAATGGACTCTGGGTAAATTTGAAGGTGTAATTCTGACCTTGTTTATGTGTGTGTAGTCATTTATTTGCCACCTTAGTTGCACAAAGCGGTAACTGCATTTTGCTGGTGAACGTACATTGTGTGGGCATATGTAGGTGTTAATAAACACTGCACCTCTTATATATGTAAGGCACTGAGCCAGGGGGTTTAGACTGTATGGTTAAATTTAGGTTATAATCCCCTCCATGGAGGTCTATCCAGAGTCAGTAGCTGACACTGAATGCTTGCCATGGGCCAGGCACAGCACCACTGAACACATTTGATTCTCCAGCAATACTAAGAGGGAAGGCCTTTTGTTTTCCCCATTGTACAGATGAAATTGAGGCACAGAGAAGGAACTTGCCCAGGTTTTCTCGCTAATAAGTGACAGGGACGGGATGTACACTCAGCCTGTCTCTAATTCAGAGACCTTGCTGTTAATCTAGTCCGTGCTGCCTTGTTAAATCCTCACAGAAGCCTGTGAGAAACCATCACTTCCTCCTTTTTGCGGATGAGGCTTCAGTGCTGGGGGAAGGGCACATAGTACGATTCAAGAGAGCTGAAGGTGCACTGACATAGGCATCTGGTAAGTATATAACTGTCACTGGCACTTCTGTTAAAGAAACCATGCTAAGTAGTAAAGACCTACATTTTTTAGAGGCTATATTTTGAAAACATGAAGACAAACACTAACATACTAACTAGTTGTGTTGGGATGATGGGGTTAAAAGGGTCGCTTAGTTTTGTTTCCTAATTTTTTAAAATGAGATAGATATATGTAAAGGAAGTGCTCAAAAAGCAAAGGAAGGTGGCATGTCAAAGGGTCACACGGGCCAGCCTGCAAGCTCCCACTGGCGAAAGCACAATTTGAACAATAAAATGAATAACATGGGATTGGGTTATAACTTAAAAGTGTAAGATAAATATCTGCAAGTTTGTGCTGATATAAATACTTGAGTGAATAAATAAATGTGGGGAAAAAGTCAAATTTTCCATACAGAAAAATTTCAGATCATTTATGTGGATACTCCCCCTTTAGGAGGTAGAGTTTATTCCCTTCCAATCTTAAGTGTGGGCTGTATTTAGGAATGGAGTATGGAAAGGGGAAAGTTGTAACTTTTCAGTGGAGAAACCTGGCGGGTACTAGCTTGCCTAGGTGACCAAGGTTAACATCAGTGATATTCTGACAGCAGGTACCCTGGCAGGATGTGATGTAAGGGCACTTCACCTCTGGGGTCTCCCGAGAGCCCATGAACCAGTCTAATCATGAGAAAAACACCAGGCAAGCCCAAATTGAGGGACGTTCTTCAAAATACCCAAACAACCTTCAAAACTGTCAAGATCATGGAAAACAAGAAAAGGCTGAACCTGTCACACCCAGAGGAAACTAAGGGCGCATGGTCACTAAATGTAATATGTTCTGGAAGGGATCTTGGAACAGATAAAGGACATTAGTGGAAATGTGAAATCCAAATATAGTCTGGAGTTTAGTTAATAGTAATACATCAATGTTGGTTTTTTTTAGGAGTGACAAATGTACCCTGGTAACGTAAGATGTCAGCAAGAGGAAGCTAGGTAAATACAAGAATGCTCTACTAGCTTTGTAACGTTATTGTAAGTCTAAAACTATTCTAGAATAAAATGGTCATTGAAGTATGTACACAGATGTGTACATACATAGGCAAGCAAGTTACAATGACCTGGACTGCCGACCGCTGAAGTCTCTAGGGAATGAATAACTGGAATGCCCGCCCTTCCTAAAAATGGTTATTCATCTAAACACCAGCAGGTGGTGATGAGCACTCAGGTTAGGCCTCGGACAGGCCAAAGCTGGGAAAGGGATGATTTCCCCCAGAAGTGGCAATGTATCTGCCCCACTCAAAGACTAGAAAATTTTCAGGCCTTTATGTGGAAAATATTCAAGTCCTCAATCTGGGACAGTGACTTACTCTCTAGGTCCACGACACTTGTAGAATCTTCTGATTAGCTTGTCAGAGAGGACTGACCTTGACAAATGGACCCATCCATCTATACAAGTGAGAACATCCTTCGCGTTTCCACTTCACTCCCAGCCAGAGCATTTCATAAAATCGGAAACTAGATGGTTTTAGAAATCAACATCTGAAAGTCTCTTATTTCAAAGAGGATTACATTTAGATAAAAAGTAATCAGCTTTGTGGGTTTCCCACCCACTCGCCTGCCTCTGCTACCAGCAAGCCTGACTCTGCTTTTAGAGGTGTTGATTTTCTATGTACATGTGGATTACTATACACTCTGGGCCAGTATACTAAATAATTCAGTGTAAATTAGGGGTGGTAACGTTCTTGGTCACTACCGTACGAGGTGAGAGTCAGAAAGAAGACTGGGGTCTGAAATAATAGAATATTGCAGATGATGCAAGTAAGGCCAGAGAAGGTGAGCAGCTTGCTCAAGGACACACAGCTAGTTAGTGGCAGCGCCCAAATTTGAACCCAAATATGATCCTTCCTTTGGCTTGTTCTATGACCTGAAATAAAGGCACTCAGTTCCTCTTGGACTTCAGTTTACTGACCTATAAAGTCTGTGGTCCCTTTTAGGCTCTAAAACTGTGTGACTCAAAAGATTTTCTGTTTATTTGAACATCCTTAATTTAAAAACTGACTCTAAGTTCTTAACATGCCTAATATTTGCCACTTAACGTGTGTTCCCAAATATTATCAGGAATATCTTTTGATGAGTGTGCTTCCTAACTTCCCAACTAGATTCTATGTTCCCCTTGATATAAGGTGTATTATATCCATGTATAGGCCCAGCATGGTGTGTCACACTTGGAAGGTAATACATACTTCTTAACTAATTAGTAGTGCTTTGATGTGCCTTATTAAATATAATAAGAATCCTGGCTATCATTCGTTAAGCTCTTCCACAGGCCAAACGCTTTACATATGTTACCTTTTGTAATTCTGACCACAACCCTGTGCTATATTACTATCTGTAATTTCAGATAAGGAAAAAGACCTTTGGATAGGTAAATAGGCTTAATCAGAGTCATACAGCTGGAAGCTACCAAGATCTTTTCTGGTTTCAGAGCCAGTACCTTAACCACTGTGCAGACAGCCTCTAAGAGTACCTTGGCTTGGAACCAATGAAAATAATCATTACATGTGAGTAGAATCATTGATGAGCCAGTTCCTGACCACATAACCTGAAACCCTATCCATCACCACTCCCCACTGTCTTCCTCCAAAATAAATAATAATGATATAACCCAGCCTGTGCTGTAGAAGAGGCGACACCGTTAGCCACCACCCAGCAAACCATTAGCCTCTTCCTCTTCTGTATCTAAACCCAGTTTGTTCACCCACTTTACAGAATTGTGAATTTAAGGGGAAACCCAGCCTTTCCCAAGCTCCTGCAGGAAGTGGGGGTGGAAAAGCTTGCTTAGTTCAAGATGACTTGGTACCCTTTGCCAAACTGCTCATTTTAGGCATGAGCAAATAGTGCAATTCTATGCAGTGAAACATGAACAGCTGTTTTTATCTTTATTTATGTGAGTATGGCTGTGGTGCCAGAATGCTTCAATTCAGATTCCAGCTTCACTGTTTTCTAACTGTGCCTTTGGATAAGTTTATTAACCCCTCCTGGACTTCAGTTTTTCCAATTGAAAATGGGGAAATGGCACAGGATTACTGGGAAGACCAAATGAATCAATAATGTCAAGTGCTGAGAACTGCACCTGTTACACAACATGTACTCAATAATAACAGCTATGGTATCTGTTTTCCTTTGCTGCACAAACAAGTTTGGACCCAAAACTTAGGGTCCAAAAATAAAATAGTTATCTCACAGTTTCTGTGGATCAAGAATCTGGGAACAACTTAACTGGGAGGTTCTGGCTCTCTCAAGAGTGCAGTTGAGGTGTTGGCAGGGGCTGGGCCCATCTCTTGGGAGATCTTCACGCTCACCACAGGGTCTCTCCCAGGGCTCCCTGATGACACTGCAGCCGATTTCTGCAGGAAGCAAGCCTGCCAAGCCGGAAACCATGGTCTTTTATTATCTTATCTCCAAAGTGACACTATGTCATATTCTGTCCATTAGAAGCAAGTCAATAAATTCAACCCATACTCAAGGGGAGGAGATGACACAGGGGTGAGAATTCCAGGAGGTGAGAATCCTGGGGGTCTTCTTAGAGGCTGCCAACCAGCTGTCATTATTTTGTTTTACACATACAGAGACCAAGTCTACACTTCTGTTACTGCTACTTTATATTTTCTCTTTGAATCATAAAATTCCTCTACTGGATCCAGGTTAAAAGAAAACAAAAATCCTCCATTACATTCCTTGTCACTAGTTTAACTCTTTCCTGTATCAGAGGAATAAACATAGGATTATTTTGTCCCTTCTAAAGGCTAGCATGGCTGTTCTTAGGTTTTATGACCAGCATATGCTCAGCTTTTTAGAGCATGGGCACAATTACCTCCTCAGTCTCTCTCTATTCCAAGCAGTAAATGCCTAACTGCCCCTGAGTTTCCAGTTCCCTTCTGAAATCGTCTTCCTGCCTTCCTCCCTTTTGAGTGCCCTTTGAGGAGAAGCAGTAACCCACAGAGCGCTGGATGCTCCCAGCCTCCTTGGGGTGGGTAGAAGACTACCTGGTACCAACCAGCTTCTGGCGTCTCAGAAACTATAACTTCAACATGCAACAAAAGCTTTTAAAATGTGCATTCCTTGTATCTAAAGCATTCCATTTATAAGAAACTGAACAAGGATTCCCACAAAGAATGAGCTAAAAAGAGTTTTCCATTGCAATATTTTTTTATTTAGCAGGGGAGTGTGAGACTGCTCAAAGCTGCAGAAGCCCGGCCTCCTCTTCCAGCCTTTCTAGTGAATTCGAAACTCAGCTGCAGCTGTACTTTCTTGCACTCATGTGCATTGTATGATTATCCCATTTTTATTCAGTTTCTATTCTTATTTCATGGCTGTATTACTGTGACTACCCATTGTCTCATAGTGCCTAACTACACCAAAACTTTGTGGCTCAAAACCACAATAATCATTTATATTCTCTCATGGCCACTTTGGGTCAAGAATTTGGACAGGGCTCAGGGGGGATGGCTTGTCCCTGTTGCATGGTGCTGCGGCCTCTGCTAGGGGACTCTAAAGGCAGGAGGCTGACATCATATAGAGTATCATCACTCGTCTGGCCACTGATGGTGGGGTCAGCTTAGGGCCTCGCTGGGGGGTGTTATCTGCCAGAACACAGGATTTTGTCTGCCAGGCCTTTCCAGGCGGCCTGGGCTTCCTCACAACATAGGGACTGGGTTCCCAGGGCAAACACCCGGAAAGTCGGGCAGAAACTGTATCCTTTGGTGGCCTAGCCCCATGAGCCATACGGCGTCACCTCTGCTCCACTCGCCCATTACCGGGTGGGCAGTCAGGGCCCCACCTGACCCACATCTAAGGAAGGAGCACAGCATGTGTTTTAGGATAAATACCTGATTGGAAAATACAGTCTGTCTAAATGGCGATTATCCTTTATTACCAAACTTAGCATATTTATTCCAGGTTATTTTTTTGTTTGACTTCTAGTTTATTTTTTTTAGTTTTCCTCTCTTCCTTACCATGTTGGTTACTCCAAACAGCTCCCTCCCTGGCCTGGGCCTCCAACGTGGGTAGAAGCCAAGATCGCTACATGTGAGGATGTTTCTGTCCTGTCCATCGGCAGCCCTGCGTCCAGTTTTCTTTTTCCCGTTTTGATCTCTCTTTCATGTTGGAAGCTTTTCTCAGATGAGTCTGAGAAAATGTATGGTGGATTCTCAAATGTGTGACACTCCTTCGCTGTCCACTTTCACCTTGAAGTGGGGTACTAAACAGCTGACTGTCAGCACAGTTTCCACAGGTGGGGCTGAAGGCTATGCCACAGGATGACAGGACAGGAGGTCAGCTTTTGGTTGGGGGACCCCCAGATGTCAGTGGCTGAACGTCTTTTCTCTCAGACTGTTCAGTTTCTCCGGGGAACCATACTTTAGTCTCCTGCCCAAGGAGGATGAGCCCAACTAACTTACATTCTAGAGGTCAGGTGGGAAACAGAGGCCTGGGTTCTCCGTGTTTGGAATGCAGACCTTCATTACTCTCCAGGTTTTCAGTGGGGCCTCGCCTGCACCCCACACTCTGCCCAGCATCCCTGAGTCCAGGTTGAACTTGGCCAGAGACTAAACCTCCTGCCTGCTGCCAGGGTGGGGCAGCACTGGGGAGGGTGAGGCCCGCTGTCTTACAGCTCCTTATCTCTGACTGAAGGTCAAACTCTGTATCAGTTTCCTGTGGCCACTATAACAAATTACCACATACTTGGTGACTTACAACAGAAATTTATTCTCTCACAAAGCTGGAGTCTTGAAGTCCAAAGTTAAAGTGTCTGCAGGGCTTCACTCCCCCAACTTCACATGTTCTAGGGGAGACTCCGTTCCTTGCTTCCTCAGCTTTGGTGGCTGCTGGTGGTCCTTGGCTTGTGGTCACGTCAGTCCCACCTCTAGGGCCACCATCTTTAAGTCTCTCTCTGCCCTACCTTCTTGTGGTCTTCTCTGGGTCTGTGCCAAATCTCCCTTCCCTTTGATAAGGACTGTGTGATTACATTTAGGATCCACCTGAATAATCCAGGAAATTCTCTCGATCTCAAGGCCCTTAACTTAATCACATCTGCAAAGACCCTTTTTCCAAGTAAGGTAACATTCACAGCTCCAGGGATTAGAGCCTCATATCTTTGAGGGCCGTTATTCCACGTAGCACCCTCTGCTATCAGTCCCACATCCTACCCTGCCTGCTTCCATCTCTACTGTCTCTAATACCATTGCAAGTTCACCAAGGGTGAAATGGGCTTCCACCAGCCCTTCCCAAGGGCCTTGCGGGGAAGCTTCCTGCCCTCCTAGGCAAGTATTATTCCTTCAATACCTGTCTGTATTTTTAAAATGTGTTGACACCTTGCTGTGATCTGAATATATAAATCCCCAAATTTATATATTGCTATCCTAACCCCCAGAGGTGATGGTGTTAGGAGGGGGGAACTTGAGGAGGTGCTGAGGGCATGAGAGGGGAGCCTCCTGAATGGGAGCAGTGCCCTGGACAAAGAGGCTGCAGAGAGCTCCTGGCCCCTTCCCAGGTGAGGGCCCAACAGGAAGTCTGTAACCCACAGGAAGACCTCGCCCAGCCACGCTGGCTCCTGGTCTCAGACTTCCAGCTTCCAGGCTCTGAGAAACGCATCTGTCGTTTGAAAGCACCCAGTCTGTGGTATTTTGCTATGCTGCCCAAAGGGACTGAGCCACTTCTCTCCTCGGCAGTTTGTGCATCCCCCGCCTCCCTCTTCTGGGAGGCTTATGCTTGTTTTAGTCCTTGACTGTCATTTTGGATGAGTTTTAGGTAGCAACAGAGATAAACATATGTGCTTAATATATGGTATTTAACCAAATGTCTCTCTAGTGGTTTTAAATATTTTTTACAAACAGCCTTATTGCTTCTTTTCATTTGTTACAATATTGCATGCTTGTTTTCAAAATAGTCCCATGCTGTGTCAATATTCATCAAGCTGTACACTGAGATTTGTGCGTTTTATTGTATGTACCTCGATTTTTTTTTTTGAGAGGGTGTCTCATATTTATTGATCAAATGGTTGTTAACAACAATAAAATTCTGTATAGGGGGGTCAATGCTCAATGCACAATCATTAATCCATCTCAAGCCTAATTCTCGTCAGTCTCCAATCTTCTGAAGCATAACGAACAAGTTCTTACATGGTGAACGAATTCTTACATAGTGAATAAATTCTTACATGGTGAACAGTACAAGGGCATTCATCACAGAAACTTTCGGTTTTGATCACGCATTATGAACTATAAACAATCAGGTCAAATATGAATATTCGTTTGATTTTTATACTTGATTTATATGTGGATCCCACATTTCTCCCTTTATTATTATTATTATTTTTATTTTTAATAAACTGCTGAAGTGGTAGGTAGATGCAAGATAAAGGTAGAAAACATAGTTTAGTGTTGTAAGAGAGCAATTGTAGATGATCAGGTGTGTGCCTGTAGACTATGTGCTAATCCGAGCTAGACAAGGGCAATAAAACATCCATGGATGCAGAAGCTTTCTCTCAACACTGGGGGGGGGTGAGGTTCTAAGCTTCACCACTGTTGTTCCCCAATTTCTCACCTGATGGCCCCCCTGCGACTGTGTCTGTCTTAGGTTGTTCCTCCCTTGAGGAATCTTACCCGTCTCTGGCTAACCAGTCATCTTCCGGGGCCATACAGGAAATGTACCTCGATTTTAAAAAGTACTCAGCACAGTGCCTGGCAAAAAATGACCCCCCACCACCCAAAAAGGTCTTATGCTAAGCGCAATCAGACAGGCTGCTAGAAATCACACCTCTTGCCTAAAAACAATAGTCAAAATTTCAGTCTTCCATCACAGTCTCTTTAAAGCATATCCCAAACATTATGGCATTTTATTCAGTACCAGACCTCTTTAAAAATTGTCCCTTTCTTACAAAGCCAATATCATACCTGACAAAGTTGTCAATAATGACTTGAGCTCATCTCATACCCATTTCATATTCAAATTTCCCTGATTATCTAAAAAATGTCTTCTTACAGGTGATGTATGGGAATCAGGATCCAAGTAAGGCCCACATATGACCTTGATCATTGTGCCTCTGAGGTGTCTTAATTAGAGCGTTCCCCTTCTTTTTCTCCATGCCATTGCCTTGTTGAATCTCCAATTTTAAAAAGACACATAAGAAACATATTTCTATTCCCCATATTGTTCCAAAATGACTTTGAGAGGGTCTAACAGAACGTGCTCTTCATTGATAGAAAGATGCATGGATATAACTCGAAGGCTAACACAGTCAGCTCAGATCTTGCTCAGAGAACAAACTCCAGCCCTAGACATTTGTCCACACAGCAGCCCCTGAACTCTGAAATTCCAGACTTTTGAAGAGGGATGTTTTTCACCCAAGGGTCTTGAGTGGCCTTATTCAGGCAAAGTTATCTTTGGGTCAGATGGGAGCTGGGAGATGGCAGAGACCGAAAATACCAAATTCTTTCTGCAGGGGCCATAGTACCCAGAGGACACCTTGCTACATTTCCTTAGGTTCATGTACAAACTGCTTTTAAAGAAGAAACATTCAAGAATCCTCCCCTTGAATTATTGTTTCAGAATATTACTGAAACATGTATGCAGAAAGGAAATGTCTTTTTTGTTGAGGGTGGCTTGCACACCTCCTTCCTGTGTTTCAGGATCTGCTCACTGTATTAGTTTCCCTTGGCTGCTGTAACAAAGTACCACAAACTGGGTGGCCTTAAACAGTGGAAATGTATTTTCTCACAGTTCTGGAAGCTAACAATGCAAAATCCAGGTGGCATCTGGACCACGCTCTCTCTGGAGGCTCTGGAGAAGCCGGCAATCCTTGATGTTCCTCAGCTTGTAGAGGGATCACTCCAATCTCTGCCTCCACTCTCACATGGCCTTCTTCCCCGGGTTTCTCTATATATATCAGTTTTCTTAAAAGGATGCCAGTCATTGTATTAGGACCCACCCTAGTCCAGTGCCACCTTATCCTAACCAATTACATCTGCAAAGGCTCTGTTTCAAATAAGGTCGCGTTCTGAGGTTCCCAGTAGACATGAATTCTGGAAGAACACCATTCCACCCAGGACACTGACCTTGTGTCTGTTTGGACCTTAGACGATATGGAGCCCACCCACTTCTACAGAGAAGAAAAGCTCCTGATATGTACCTTCCTCAGAG